ATGCCCTTAGCCACAAGATGTTGGCGCCCAGTCCTCTCAGCATCGGGGCAGTCCTAAAGTCCGGGGGTGGCTGGTGAGAGCCGGTCCTACTTGGACATTACTGCGGTGAATCGGGAGTGGACAAACGGTCCCTCAGATCACCCAAAGCAGGGCATGCTTGGCCGACTACTGGGGCAACCCGGGAGTAGCCAAACAGGCCCTGCAGACAGTAGAGAACCACAGGGAGCAGGCCTAAGCCATCAGTAGGACATCCCCTGAGGGCTCCCGCATTGGAGAGGGTGCAGGTCGAGATGAGGGAACCACCCCCACTGTTGTGCATGAATTTCGTGCAGCGGGCCTCTAGTAAAAATACATTAAAAAAAAAAGACTTGAAGTCTTTCTACAGTAGAAATGTCCTTTTTGAGGTCTTAGACCAGTTAGTAACTGTAATTCATCAGAGTCTTAAGTAGAAAGCCTGGGGGAAGGGCCACAGTGATGGGGAGAAAGTGTGTTGTGATGGGAGCCAAGGCCAGGCCACTGGGCGGCCTCCCTGAACAGTCCTTGACCCAGGATGGTGGGGGTAAGCTGACCTGGGTCCTGTGGGTACCTCTGTTCTCTTTCACCTCCAGTTGCACATTTAGTGTCTCCATGGGACACATGACCCAGAGATGGTGGTGGGCAGGGAGAAGGAAGGGCCGACGGCGGATGGCAAACAGGGAGAAAGAGGAAGAGAAAGGGCAAAGTGACTCTGGAGCAGGAAACACAGCTTGTGGGGCAGGGCTGGTGCTGTGACCAGCCTCTGCTGGTGCCCCAGATCTCACGCTGTGACCCAGGCGCTGCCTCTGCTTGTCCTCCTTATACTAGTGCTGTCACCAGGGACTCCTCCCTGCCTGGTGTCCCCAGCAAAGGGCCTGTCACAGTCCCACGCTGGCCCCGAGCCAAAGGCCACAGGGCAGCCTTTGGCTCCTGGGCACGTTGGAGGATTCTCAGGGAGGAGAAGGAGGAGAGAAATGCCACTGCCCTCAGGAGCCCTCACTGTGCTGCACCCTCAAGAAATGCACAGGACACGTTCTCTTGCCTTAGTCCTGTGAGAATATAATAACAGTCATTGCCAAAGAGCCTTTGACAGGGGCTTGGAACTCCTTTCCCCACTTCCCCAGAGTAGACCCCACCTGTTGGCCACCTCACCTTCTGCGTCTGAACCTCATGACCTGTCGAACATAATAAAGTGCGTCCCTTAAACAGTCATTCCAGAAAGCCCTTGACAGGGGCTTAGAACTCCTTTCCCCACTTCCCCTGAGCAAACCCCGCCTGGTGCCCGCCTCACCTTCTGCGCCTAAAGGTAATGACCTATCTGCTTGCTCTCTGTTGACACTGAAGGCCAAGAGAGGTCTAGAGACCACTTTCCTCAGCCCTAGCGGTTCCATCATTCCCCCAAGTGACCAGCAGGAGGCAGGCGCGCCGCCTTGCGCAGGGTGAGGTTCCATAAGGGGTCCTCATCAGAAGCATGTCTCCCAAGAGCTTCTCTTGTCAAATAACCAGAGGATTGACTCAAATAACACACATCCTCTTTCAAACCGGGCTCAGTGGATAGAGCCTTGCTCCATGGAGTGAAGGGTCCTGGGTTAGATTCTGGCCAAGGGCACGAACCTTGGTTGGGGGCTCGATCCCCAGAACAGAGTATGCAGGAGGCAGCTGATCAGTGTTTCTCTTGACACTGAAGGCCAGGAGAGCTCGAGAGGCTGCTTTCCTCAGCCCCAGCGGTTCCGTCATTCCACCAAGTGACCAGCAGGAGGCAGGCCCGCCGCCCTCTCCAGGGCTTGAGGTTCCATAACGGGTCCTCATCAGAAGCATGTCTCCCAAGAGCTCTTTTTCCAAATAACCAGAGGATTGACTCACTTAAATAACACATCCTCTTTCACACCGGGCTCAGCGACCAGGCATAGCTCCACGGAGTGAAGGGTCCCGGGTTAGGTTCTGGCCAAGGGCATGAACCTTGGTTGCGGGCTCAATCCCCAGAACGGAGTATGCAGGAGGCAGCTGATCAGTGTTTCTCTCTCATAGATGTTTCTAACTCTCTATCCTCTCTCTTCCTCTCTGTAAAATCAATAACAATATATTTTTGTAAAAAATGAGACCGACTACAGGCTTTTCCCTAGGAGCCATTTCCCAGCCATCCCAGACCTGCACGGAGAATGGGTAAGACTCGGCCCAAGGACAGCCCTGAACATCCCAGGGGAGGCAGAGGCTCCTTTCAAACCCCTGGGAAGGGAGCCAGGGTCTCTAACTCATTGCAGAGGTTGTGACTTTCTCCCAGTTCTAAGGACAGTGTGCAAATCATGGCAGGCAGTGAAGGGAACATTTCTTACAGAAGGCTCCCACCACTTCACACTCGCTCCCTCAGAGGGAAGAAGGAAGAATCCGTGGCCCACAGATCGGATTCAAAGCCCAGAGGCAAAGGTTCCATTGAACATTCTCGGGTCCACAGGCAATGTCTTTGGAACACAGATTTATATCGCTGATAGACTCATGTCCCAGGGTAGGGTTTTTTTCTAGCACTGAGTGCTCAGAGACCTAAATACTCTTTGAGAAGAAGCTCATTTCAGCCTAGATGGTGTGGCTCAGTGGTTGAACGTGGACCTAGGAACAAGTCGGTCACAGTTTGATTCCTGACTGGGGGGCTTGATCCCAGTAGGGTTGTGTAAGAGGAAGCCAATCGATGATTGTCTCTCATCATTAATGTTTCTATCTCTACCTCTCCCTATTGCAGAGGCTGTGACTTCCTCCCAGTTCTAAGGACAGTGTGCAAATCATGGCAGGCAGTGAAGGGACATTTCCTAAAGAATGCTTCCACCACTTTACACTCGCTCCCTCAGAGGGAAGAGGGAAGAATCGTGGCCCACAGATCGGATTCAAAGCCCAGAGGCAACTCCCCTCTCAAAAATAATTAAGATTTAAGAGGCAGAGTGAACATCTTATGCAAAAATTAAGAAATAAATAAAAGCATTTAAAAATTCTGGTAAGTATTTGATGTTCATAAGAAATAGTTGTTAACTGTAAAGGTATATTATGGTTATGCAAGGAAATGTCCTTTTTTTAAGAGAATAATTTTGAAGTGCAAAGGGATGAACGAACGTGCTATGTCTTTGGAACACAGATTTAAAGAGCTGATAGACTTATGCCCAGGGAGGGATTTTTTCAAGCACTGTGCTTTCAGCGATGTAGGGAACTCATATAGGGTTAAGCCTCGGAATGACCAGTTGGCAAAGTCACAAACAAGTCCCAGCAGTCTGGGGTTTGCATTTAAGTTCTTTGGAGAATGAAAATAGATGAAAAGAAGAGAAGGAAGGAGAGAGAAAGCGAATATGGCCACTTCGCGGTAACTGTTGAGTCTGGTAGTGGAAGGCAGATTCCTTCCACTGTTCTGCTCTTGCACATGTGGGGACTTGCATGTGGCGGAGAGGTGTTAGGGCCACGCCGTGGAAGGTCTGGCCAGTTGTTTTTAGTGGGCGTTTGAGAGGGAGCTGTGAGAATCCCAGCAACTCTCATTTCCACACAGTAGGTGTATAGCACTGATTAATTACCCTATTATAATTAAAATCCAGATTCAGTAAGACAGGTAGACAGTGGGTTTATTTTGGAATTTTTTTAATGAAAGTTCCTTTTTTTTTGAAAAATTTTTTAATGAAAGTTCCTTAACCAATCAATGAGCCCAATTTGGACATAGAAGCCAATGGCCACTTTCTGCTCAAAATGAACTTTGCCTTGGAACTATTTCATAAAGCATCCTGATAATACTTCACCCCCATAAACTGCTCTCGTGGATTTGCAAAGCTTATGTAGCCGGGAATTTCACACTTTTGAGACTTCGGGGTGCACTTGGCTGTCGGAGGGCAGCTGGAAAGAGATGGTCAACAGCCCACTCAACATCATGAGGAAGGCAGCCAGAACCGCCACGGGCACGGTGCTGCCGGTCTCCTGCCTGTCCGGCCTGAAGGGGATGTGGAAGGATGGTGGGAAGCGTATGCCTTCTTCATTCACCACGGACTGGTGGTTCCACATCACAGCAATGAGGATAAATGCACCCGCTATGATGCTCACGACTCCTGAAGCGAAGAACAGATTGCAGGTGGTGTCCTTCTGAAGCTGTCCCGCGTACACTCTCTGCAGACCTGTGACCATGAGCACTTTCCCCAAGAGCCCGAGGAGGCTGGCGGCCAGCAGCAGGTTCTGTGCGATGCGGATATCGAGCGGCAGGTAGGTGTCACTGTAGGTGTAGCGGTGACACTCTTTTTTTCTGCTGTGGAGGTTGGCGGGCTGGTAAGTGCAGACCCTCCACATCCCAATGCAGGCCAGGCTCCGGGATGGGGCGGAGCTGCTCTCCATGTACCACACCCGCCACTCAGCCAGGCCCATGCAGGTCATGGAGAACATCCATCCCAGAGTGTTAAGGGCGAAACTCGCTGCCTGGCAGTTGGCGTTTTCAAACATGGCCATGCCTATGTTTCCAGGGGATCTGCAAACCAATAGAGGGCGTCATGAGGGTGAGACCCACTGCCTTGAACCACCACCTGGGGGTGAGCGGCGCTATATTGGAGAGGGAGATGCCATATTCTAGAATGGAGACACTTGACCCCCATGCTCTGCTGGCGAAGGGTCCTTGGGGAATATTTACTGAAAGCCTTCAAATATACAGACTTTCACCCTGGCAGGGTTGCTAAGTGGTTGTTAGAGCGTCTTCCCAATAGGCCAAGGTTGCGCCCTCAATCCCTGCTCAGGGCACGTACAAGAATCAACCAATGAATGCATTAGTCAGTGAAACAGCAAATTGATGTTTCTCTCTCGCCCTCTCTCCTTGTCTCTAAAGTCAATCAAAATATGTACAAACTTTCTAACAGGAAGCTCCACTTCTGGACATTTGTGAAAGATACAACTAATATTGGCTAAAGCCCAGCCAGCGTGGTTGAGTGTCGACCTATGAATCAGGAGGTCAGGGTTTGATTCCTGGTTAGGGCACATGCCCGGATTGTGATCCCCAGTGTGTGACGTGCAAGAGGCAACAGATCCATGATTCTCTCTCATCATTGAGGTTTCTATTTCTCTCTCTGTCTCCCTTCCTCTCTGAAATCAATAAAAATATATATTTTTGCCTGCTCCCAAGAGTCAGCAATCCCATTTCTGGATTGATACCTGGAAGAAGGGAAAGCAAGGGCACAAGCAGAGGGTTGCACCCCCATGTTCATAGCAGCGTTATTCACAACAGCCAAGAGGTGGAAACAGCCGAATGTTTATTGTGGGTGAGTACACAGACAGCATGTGGGCTGCCCATACCATGGGATATCATCCAGCCTTGAAGACATTCTACCGAATGGAGAAAACCAAGGTGGTGCCATAGGTAAACACTGGAGATTGCTGCTTAGCACAACCACTTCAAGAATACAAGTAAGAGCCGGAGCGGACATCACCCAGAACCACAGGAAGGCTGGCTGAGTGGAAATTCTACAAGTAGAAGGAAAGAGAAAAGCATACCGAGACTCAGAGGAGCTGCAGTACAGAAGTAAAGTACAGAGGTATGGAGGTGCACTCGGAGAGGGCTTACGGCTGAGGACACAGTTGTCTTTTTCAATCAGTAGGGAGTCTCAAGCTCTGAGCTTCAGTTCTGGGCGAGTCTCTGGGGACCCAGGCTCATACGGGAGAAACTGGACTGTCTGGAATCGGTCGGAATTCGAGGCCAGCTTACTCTTGGAGGTGCTTGCAGTGATTGCCGTGGCCTCTGAGGGCAGCCATAGCTGCTTGCTCCCCCCTGTTGATCCCTTGGGACCCTCGCCCTCCCCAAGCTGTGCGCTGGCTTTTGCATATGAAATGCCTGACCTTTTGCAATCTGATAATTACCTAAGAAACTTGCAGCAGCCCCAAGGTTCCACGACAACTTGCATTGCTTCACAGCTGAGCTCCTGCTGGGCAGCCTGAGCTCCTGCTGGGTAGCCTC